TGTAATATTTCTTTCTTTTCTTTATAAAATTTTGAGCTATTAGGTATTCCAATCATCATGAAATTTGTTGCAGGTATCAAGTTCAGGGCCACTGTCTACTCAACCCCATGAGGAACCGCCGGTGATTGGTCAGACCGAGGAACCGACCAGGAGGCGAACTTCTTCATAGTCGACGCACCCTGAGATACCAACTAATCAATCTGTTGGTGGCTTCTTCAGATTCAAGACATTGTGATTTCCCGACCAACACAGCCAGCTCCTCTCGAACAACCACCAACCGATCAGCCATCTCCCCTACCGCAGACCTTCCGGCGATTGGGCCCCCGTCTTTGGGTCCCCCTGCAGCCGCAAACGGTCTTGAAGCTGATCGGCCCCGGGTTGTCATCGAAGAGTTATGATCTTCCACCTCGGGGAAAACTTCCATAGTAAACTTAGTCAAATAAGAAACGCTTTGGCTATCAAAGAGCCATAACACTTGAAGCGAGAAATTTTCTGTTAAAAGAACATATACCCTTGATTGCTGACCCTCTAGCCGCACCATAGGTATTTGCTAACAAGAGCTATTTGAGAGATCGGTGGAATATAGCCGGAGTAAAGCACAAATTCTTCCACAGTCTCTGAAACACCAAAAGGGTTGTCACTAGCTTTCATTTTGAAAACTTGATTACCCTCCCAGAACATCAGTTGTTGATGCAAAGATGACGACACACATTGGGACGCATGAATCCAATCCCTTCCTAGCAGCACTGAATATGTAGTATCTGCATCTACCACAAAGAAGAGAGTGGATATTATTTTTGGTCCCACTTCTATTGGGGCTACCATCATACCTTTAGGCTTGGTCGGCTGACCTGTGAAACTTGTCATTTCAATGTCCATTGGTGATAAATCAAAAACCTCTTTGTCTAGTCTTTTAAGTGTTTATAAAGGCATAACATTAAAGACTGCACCATTATCAACAAAAACCTTACTGATTGGTTTACCACAGATATGAGCATCGTCATAAAGAGGCTTCAAATGAGGTATCGTTCCTTCAGGAAGATGAGAGAAAACTATTGGTAGGGGACCATCTGTTGATGGATCCGAGTCCATTATCCTCGCCCATTCGGGTTCCTCAAAACAATTATTGGCTAAACTAGCCCAAATTGGTTCTTCAAATATTGGCTCTTGTTGTTACCAATGTAACCCAGTCATTTTGATCTGAAAAGAGATTGCCCCGAAGCCCAATCGGTGGTTTTTTCCTTAATTGGCTGAATCTTGGTTGATGGGAAGGCCCGAATTGAATTCCTTGGCCATTTTCTTTGATCTCCCCTATGACTGGATCTATATTAATCTTGTTATAATATTGACATCTTTAACACTTGTTCTTAACAACCCTCTATTGATCCTCTTTTTTAATAGTCCGGTGATTTGTGGCAGTATCCAGAGATACTCGAATACTAGGTTGATGCCGGATCTCAGGTTTGGGGCCCGAGGACTCCCTATGACTATCAATATGGTGGCCATGCCGAGCAGCATATCTATGTTTAGCATTACGAATCTGAGTACGATTCATATCTGAAAATCGAGGGTCGAGGTTGATCGGTAATAGCTTCCTGTTTCGACTCCATTTATCATTATCATTAGCCGGACAGGGCTTCCTTGTTGGCTAGTCCCGTACTAAAAGCTGATCTTTGATTTCTACCTCATACGTTCCATCTAGGCAATCCTATTTTTCTGCAACTTGGTCTTTACAAAATTTGAATTTTTCCTTCTGTTTTCCCTTCGGAGCAACTCCAATTGTAGCCATTGTTACCTTGGGAGAAGGTTGTTGTTCTACCCCCAGGGTGACATATTTGAAGCATCCAACTTTGATAGCCCTTTGAATCTTCTTCCTGAAATGTGTACACTGACTTGTACTGTGGGTGAAGGAATTATGCCACTTCCATTAAGGTCTTCCTTTAATTTCTTCTTTCATCGCCAATCGTTGTCCTTTAGGAATCCGAATTTGTCCATCCGTCTGGAGGATATCAAAGATCTCATTTGCTTTAGTACTTTCAAAAGTCGGTTGATCTTTCCCTTTTGTTCCTGGAAGAGGCTTCAATTTCGGGCAGACGTATGGTTTCTCGTCGCCATTTATTCTGCTTCGACCATTGGATCAGTCTCTGGTGTGTATGCTTCTGCTTTCATGCTAGCCATCTGTTGAACCTTGTGGCGCTGAAAGTTTTGATCTTTTTCCCTTAATAATGACTCCAAACGCCTAGCTTTAGAAGTTAGACTAGCCAGATCTTCTACATCATGGGTGGTTAATGCCTCTCGAAGCCGCCCATGCATGTTTCGGACCACCAGATTGGTCATCTCTTTTTCTTCTATCACAGTCGGACATTTGCCCTTCATCAAACGGACCCTTTCTATAAATTGAGTAGCATATTCTTCTGGCATCCGTTTCATTTCCAATGAATCAGTTAGAGACACCATTGGAACATGATTGAAGAACCTTGCGTGAAAGCCTATCTCCAATCCTTCCCATGTGTGTATTTGTCCAAGTGGCAGGTTGAAAAACCAAGAAAAAACAATCTTGCTCAGGGATAGACCAAACAACTACAGCTTATAAAATGAATTTTTACCAATTTCCCCCAACTGAACCGTGAAGCGTCCCACATGCTAATAGTAGAAGAACCATCCTCCCCCGAGAATGTGTGGAAGTCGGGTGGTCGATAATTCCTGGGAAGAGGATGTTCATTGATGATTATCTCAGGAAATGGCCATTGATATGCGGGCCTATTGGTCTTGTGGAGTCATACCGAAATGGACCCTTAGGACATGTGCAACGTCATCTGGGTTCAATCTGAATGGATGATGGTCTGACACCATAATGGGATCATGAGAATGACCTCCAGGCCGGTCATCCCTTTGTAAACCTGCCAGAAATGGCTCAGGCCGAGTCCCCAGAGGGATATTATTTGGAAAAGTAAGGAGAGTTTTCCCTCTCTCTGCCCTACTAGGGACTGTAGTACTTGGAATGGTGTTGTCCACGAATGACAGCCCTGCGAAGTTTGCCTAAAAGTGCGACAGAGACATATTTGGAGGTGAAGGCACGGAGTGAAGTGAAATTCTCAACAGAACTTGATCTAACATGTTTTTGTATCACATTTTTTTGCTCATGCAACATTATCTGCATGGTTGTTATTTGTTGATTTTTCATTTGTTGAACATGATTTATCCATTCAGATGGTATTTAGGAGACAATCCCCGTGGTAGGTATTGATGGTGGTGTTTCCGTCGTGGCCCCGATGGCTCTGCTAAGGCTTTGATTTTGAGAACCTGCCATGAAGTTTTTTGCAACGACTCGACAAAATCGGAGTTGTATAAAATTTTTGTTAGACGTAGGATCAGCAATTTTTTTTCGCACTCCCACTGTGGTCACCAATTTGTTGATGATGATTTCAACAATAAAAAGTAAAATTTGAAGCTATATTTCAAATTTGAACAATAAAACTTGGGACTATAAATCCTCAAGTGATAAACTAAGAGTTAAAGAAAATGTAAAACAACAGTAAATAAAGAGGATCCCCAATAAGATTCTTGAAAAATTTATCTGATTGAAGATGCCCATTCTCTATCGCTGAGGCTACTAATATACGTATCAAACCAAACCGTCCAAAACCACTTTCATGTTGGTTACCTTTGAACCGCCCAAAAAACTGCTTCCACGCCGATTACCTTTGAACCGTCAAAAAACTGTTTCCACGTTGGTTACCTTTGAACCGTAAAAAAAATGCTTCCACGTCGGTTCTGAACCGTCCAAAAACTATTTTCTTGTCGGTTACCGTTGTAACCAACTACCGCAAGGTCCAAACTCGGATGAAGAAGCAATCTGAAGGTCCAACCGTCCGATCGGTTGGACCCAAAAAGTTATCCCATCCGAATGGATCTGGCCCGCCACTGGACCACCACTGGGCCCATCCATTCATCATTCTTGGGTTCAAACCCTAATCTTATTTTTATACGTAAAAATATATAGTGTTATATTTTGGATCAAACTACTTCCAACAATAAAAATTCATAATTATTAATATGATATCATATTAACCATATTAGTATATTTTTTTAAAAGTGTACGATCCACCATTCAAAACATTAATTTTTTCAATATTTATTTTTTTTTTTCTTATTGGTACATATATATAAGAGTGACTCATAGTAATATTCCCACCAAAAGTGTCAACGTTTTAAAAACGGGAATTTAAAAAATATATATATATATAATTAGTAAATAAATAATAAATATATCAGTCAAAATTATTATTATATAATATAAATAATTATATATTAAAATTAAAATAACTAAATATATTAATTAAAATTAAAAAAATTATAAATTATTAAATTTAAAATATAATTAAAGTGTATAATAATTTTTCAGAAAAGAAAATGACAAATTATATAGAAGAGACAAAAATAGAAAAAAAGAGATTTTATACGGGATAGGAGAAGTAATTATTTATAAAATTATATTTCATTCCACATTACTTTCAACAAAAACCATAGTATAAAAATGACAATAATCAATATTAATTAATTTTATTTGGGCCTCTAAGTAAACTATAATAAAAAAAAAAATGATATAAATTGAAGTCAGTACAAAAAAAAAAAACATAGGCTTTTGTAATGGACTGAGCCATCATAACAATATGTTTGTAACAAATGGTATTTTTAATTACGATAAATATTGTGACAAATAATATTCAGTTTAGTCAACCTTAATATTTTATTTGATACGGTAATATATTTGTAAGTATTACAATTTGAATGAAATATCATCCTAAAAATATTTATAATGCAAACATTCCGTAACAACTAGTAAAATATGATGATATTTTTAAAATAAAATATTAATATCAAATATACATAATTTTTTTATTAAAAAAGAAAAAAATAAATACATTAAAAAAAATCAAAACACTTTCAAGACCCATCCTTGTATATTTGATTCCACACTTCAAAATTGTTATTTCCACTCTTTTTCCTCTCAAATACGATTTTGAAGCCCTACATACCCATGGATGAAATCAAAGAATGACGTCTTTCGCAACCATTCTTCAGCCGCACCGGTGAGTTTTGCAGCCATAACGAACTGGTTTCGGCAACATGGTATTTTCTTGGTTTCCTTTCTTGAAAACCCTTGATTTTGATTGATTTGTTTTGTGAGTGACCCCAATCACTTTCGATCTATCTATAACGTGTATAAAGATATCAGAGTTCAACGTCTAGGTTTCCCACAACTAAATTTCTTGGTTTGAGATTGATTAGATGCTTTGATTTGTGAAATTATGAATTATGAATTTTGTGAGGAATTGTTTGAATTCTTGGCAAGGATTAAAGTGGAGATCTTAGCTCGCTCTCTTTTCACTCTTTCTCTCTTTCTCTTTTTAATATTTTTTTTTAGTGTTTGGTTGGTGAAAAAGTGAGGATGCTGCAAAGAAAAGACTTTGACTAGTGACCAAGTCTTTCAAATTTGAGTAAGTTTTAATGTGATTGACTTTAGTAGTTTAGAATTATTTGACCACACTTTTAGGATCGATCAAAAATGCTTTTACTAGGAGTTGTTTGTTGTGACAGGAAAACAAAATCGGAAGTTGGGGAAGGAGGCTTTGAATTTGCAGAAAAAGGTTAGTCTATAGTTTAGTGTTAAAAAGAAGTTTCAAAGATTATATTTGGCAATTGCATTCTTTCCATTTACGTGAATTGTGTTTTAGTCATGTCAAGGAGAACGTTCAAGTAATTACGAGCACCAAACTGCTACTTCAATGCTTTCAAACATAATAATGATTTATTCTTTGGGTGTCACGAGATGGCTGCCTTTAATCTTTTTCCTTAGCTTATTTGATATTGCATGAATGTTTTGATTGCATTTGCATTGTTGGGGAAAACTAGGAGTGGAGAATGGTATACCAAATGAAATGTAGGTGACCAAATTATGATTTTCCAAGCTTTAGATCAGCATGTCTTTTTTTCTTATCATTGCTGCCCGTGATTCATACTTATTAGTAAAGCATTTGAAATCTAAATTTATGTTGTTTGTGAATTGTGATAGATATGGAAATTACAAAAAGGACTAACAACATTTTTTCGTAGTTAAAGAGTTTAGATATGAAACAAAAGGAATGCCATGCTATAGACAGGAAGTAGGGAGAAACTAGAAAGTCAGTGAACGTTTTTGTTATGTTCCATTTCAACATCTAGCAGTTTGATGCTTTTTTTCTTGTATATGTTGACATACTTATACATTGGAATGATTGTTGTGTTACATGAATACATGATATATGTTAAATGGATTGAGTTCTTCTTTTGTGAATGCCGCATGAGGTCTTTACAAAACCAAAAATCAATTCATACGGGAGAATGAATATTTGCATATCCTTTTGTTGTGTTTATCTTTCGTTATTAGTCACATAATTATTTCAGGTTCAATATAAAGACGGAAGGTGTATGATTTCATTTAATTTGACCTTCTATGCCTAATTGTAATTTATTGTTGTTTTTATCTTCCTCATTCCATTTTTAGTCAGCCACATCACTATTTTTGTTATGTTTATCATTTTCTTCAAAAGTGGGAACTATGTTTGTTATGTTTACATTCTTGATTCAAGGGGTGCTCTTGTCAAAAGGAAATTTGCAACTCGTTTTAGTAAGCTTTTTTTTTTTTAAGGATTTTTTCCTAAACTTATTAGTTATTTTATTTGTTGCTCTTTTATTACGATGGTTAGTTTACGTAAGTGAGAATTGCTCTTTTATTTGTTGTACAAGCTTGATTCCTTGATACTTTATCAAGTCTCTACTGCAGTACTGCATTTACCTGTATTTGTTTGCTTTTCATGTAATAAAAATTAACTCATCGTATCCAATGTCCTATATTTGGTGAGTTTTTTTGGGTATGCTTACTTATTTCCTATCCCTAATGGATATCTTCTTAATTTAAAATATTCTAAAACAATCTAGACAAGCAAGGGAAGATTTAAAGTGAGAAATGTAAATAATATATGGAATCCTTAATGTTGTTATATAAGGTCTGGAATGTGAATTTGATGGTATATATCTTTTACCTTTGTTGTTCCCCATGGCTCACACAAGCATGTTCTGTAGTTGTGTTTGTATTATTTTTAATCAATATTTGGGATCTAATTGCAAGCAACATGTATTGCTTTTCTGATATAGCTTTATATGATTTCAATACATTTATATTCAGTAAATTTAAATAATAGTAATGTGCTGCCTTGTAATTTTTATTCTAATATCTTTGGTTCAAAAGAAAAACTTACTTACCATAGCTATCAAAATAATAAAATAATAATATAGTATCCGCCAAGGAGGAAGAAGTGAGTGATTGAGTCATAGTGTACACCATATAGTTCTTACATTTTGTGAATCATAGTGTGAATAGTTTCCTCTTTGGTAGAAAGGTTGGCGAATTGATATCTAATTTCTTCGGATGGTACACCATATAGTTCTTGCATTTTGTGAATTCTCACTTATTTTTCCATGACAGAGCATCAAGCAGTTTTTTGTTACAGTAGAAAGAGAGGAATGGAAGTTCGACACTCTTTGTGTACCCTTACAATAGAGCAGATTGTGATCTTCTACAATACGAAATGAAAGGTAATTTCTTTTGTTAGATCTGCATTCCTATGTTGAATCTTTTAAATAAAGGGTAGTCATATACAATGTTTTTCTTTATGGTACACAATAGTTATGAGTCAAGAGAATAAATTAGGCAAGTATTTTTATGCTCGCCTTTTATTTGTATCAGATTGATTGGCCCTCTTGAAAAATGCATGAGAATAGCTTCACCGTTTTATCCATGCATGGGATATGCCTCAAAAGGAATTAGATGCAATTATGAATGAATTTCGGTCTGGCCAAACCTAAGTTCTTATCACAACAGATGTTTGGGCTAGAGGACTGGATGTTCAGCAGGTACTCTTCTATACTTTTCGCTAATACCTACTCGTAATGTTACAAAATTTGTCCAAGATACCATAAATAATTTCCCATCTACTTTCTTGTCCGATGATTGGTAAAATGTGGCAGCTGAGATGAGATGCAAAGTATAAAGCCCTTGGAGTAAACAATGAACTTTAAATTTTTTGATCTTATCAATCAGTCTTGTATGTAAATACAACGAATGAATATTAATATGTAGGAGAAATACTGGTTAACTGAACTCTTGTAGGTTTCTCTACTGATTAATTATGATATGCTCAACAATCGAGAGCTTTTCATTCTTCTCAAAGGATGATCTGACCGGTTTAGTAGAAAGGTAAGTTCTATATGTTTCTTCCATGGTTTTCTATTAAGTAAAAGTTCTATAATAATTTTAGAGACTTATGGTTTTTGAACATCATATTGTTGGAATATGTACTAAATAATTTGCAATCATTTGGAGGGTGTTGCAGTACTACAATACACAGCTTCACAAAATACCGATGAATGTTGTTGGCTTCATTAAAGATCTGTTCGATGATCTATGTGTGGAATGGAGAAGGAAAACAAACAAATGAGTTTCGTAACTAACTCCATATAATTCATTCCATGAATAGATGTATACGCATGCACATGACATGCATTATCATCTTCTTCTCATTGTCTGTATGTCTGTCTTTGAAAAAACTCTGTATTCATTGATGCTGCATTCATTACTACTAGTATGAATCCCGTGCTACGCACAGTAAAATTATGTTAGGTATATTGTAATATAATTATATATATTTATTTATATTTTAATTTTTGTATATTTTAAGTATTCATATTTTAATTGTAATTTATGAAATCAATATAATATTAATAATTTAATATTATCTAAATATAAGTAAAAGTAAAATAAATTAAAAATAATATACATCTCAGGGATAATAGAAATCATAAAATTTAAGTAAAGTTTTTTTTTTTTTTTATCAAATATCAATAAATTTTGAAATTTCATTAAATAGAAAAAAAAATTATAATTGTGACGATCTTTTTATAACATATGTGCATATTCTTCACACCAATCTACTCTTATAACTTGAAACACCGGAGATGGAGCATTTGGTCTTGCAAATGTTGGAGGCACAGGAACGATAAATGTGAACGCTCTGTCAATAAATGCACTCAAATAATTTTTGAGCAATGGCTTTCCATTTCTCTGAAAATATAAGTAATAAGATATAAAAAATATGTTATAGTTTCAAATTCTATAAAACTAACATATAAATATATTTGCAAATTCAAATTATATAAAACTAACATATAAAATATACCTGAGTTGTCATGGATTTGACAGAAGGATCTTCAACATAAAATATATATTTGAGATATTTGTCGAATAACTTGAATTCCATTGTCCCACTGCTATCATACACATTAATAAAAACTTGATATGCAAAATTAGTTAAAATGTCCCACATCCTATCAATATTAATTTCTTGGACACGCACAATCAATCGGAAAAATTTTACCTGCAAAATTTATGGTAATTATTTCATATAATATTAATAATATAGGTAAAAATATATTTAAAATAATATATCTGACCCCATCTTCATGTCTGAAATCGCGTATCCTGATTCGCTTGGAATTTGATATTTTCAATAAGTCTGATATTGAAAATATTCTTGACCTAAAGAAAGATACCAATTTCTCCGCACAACAATCACCTCTAAACCTATAATAAATAGTTTAAATCAATTATAAATTTAAGACTAGAAAAAACTAATTGATATATATTAAATTTAATTACTCACCAATTATGAAAAGTTTCGTTGAAGGTCGTTGGTGAGTTTATATAAATCTTAGTATAATGATGTGTGTAAACACAAGTACCTATAAAATTATAGAAAAATAAATATGCGAATATTAATATAATCAATATAAAGATGATAGTGTAATTTAAATAAAAATATAATAGAGAATTAACTATATACCTTCAAAATTCTTTACCATGACACCACATGCCCATAGAGTAATATTTTTTTGATATATATTCTTTAGCACTTCACCGTCATCCATTGCATGTTTGATACGTAGAATCATGCGAACGACTGCCATACTTATATATATACATAAAAGAAAAGTAAATATAATTTATTTTGGTACTGAAAAAAAAAGGAAAGAAATAGAAATTACCAATGTACCTTGTATCCAGAAGAATAATCTCACGCATCGGATATCCATTCTCGGATAAATACCAATCATTCGCGTAAACAACCAATCCGAATACATCTGCATAAATTTTATCAAAATAAATATAAGTTTAATATTAGTAGATCATTATATGCATATACTTATAGTTCAATATACCAATTAGTTGGTCTTCCTTGTTCACATAACAATGCAATTCATTCAGAGGGACAATACTGTGGAATTCTCGCGGAAAATTCTCGTCAGAATCATGTGAATCTTCGATGGTCACATTATGCCGCAGTATTAATTGGTAAGAATGAGGTACTAATCTGTGTATTTTATCTGTTATTATCACATGTGCGTTATAGATGTTATAAATAACCCCTTATGTAAGACATGAGCTGAATTGGTCTATATTAATCCCATGAACTACGCCTTGCATGACAAATCCCTGCAGCCAAAATTGTCATAAGGAACAAATGTAAATTACAACAATAAAATAATATTATCTAAATTGTAGATATGTAACTATGGAATGTAGTTATATATATATACTTACGTTACTATCAATGAACAACATCTTCAAAACTCTTACATTAGAATTTGGATTTCGCACATCCAACAATCTAATTAATCGAACTTTGATACTAATATTTTCACACTCTGGTGTTAAATTTTTCAATCCTTGAACAATTGCACCTGCATTATTGAAATAAGTTAAATAAATGTATAATAATATCAATTAATAAAATAATTCACATAATCAATAGGATCATAATTTATTACAAATGAGCACAATATGAAATGCATAGTTTTATCAAAAATAGAAGGGAAAATAAAGCCTAATGACGAATACAATAAAGTACTTCTAGATACACTATATTCCTGGTACAATTGGAAGGGACTCCATCTCTATTGAGGATGAAAATCTTTAATCCAAATGGATTTGTCACTCGTGACAATGCAACATATAACATACCATGACAAAAAACAGGATTTGGTAAATATAACCCAACACTATCAAGTGTTTAACCCTGAGTCTTGTTTATTGTCATTGTAAATGCCAGCTTAATTGGAAATTGTCTTCTTTTCATCTGAACGTATGTTTAAGTTTGAGTTGTGGTCAATATGATCCGTGGAATTAACACTTCCTCACCTACATGAGAACCACTGATAATTCGCGCCTCAAGAACTTTATCACCCAACTTTGGAATAGTAAGTTGAGTTCTATTGCAAAGACCCAATGATTGATTGATATTCCTGAGAAGAATTATTGGTGTGCCTTCTTTAAGCTCCAGAAAATGATTAGGAAATCCAAAAAGATTTATCATATTCAACAGCTTGGGAGGATTTAAATGTTGTTCTGAATTTTGAGCTTCACCCGGTGCTACAGTATCGGCACTATAATACTTCCGGATACCAGCAGGAATCATAGATACCATTATGGAATTAATTTCATCAACATCCTCATTTTTTGGTGCTAAAATGGCTCGTTCTTTCAGATAAGCAGAATCTTTATACCTCTCGAGCAAATTGGGATATGTTTTTGTCATAAGAGAATTGATGTTATTATCTCCATCATTGAATAAAAACTGCTCTGGGATTTTAATCCAATCAGATTCCTCACCATCTTGAAATTTCAGATATTTAACTTTTCCTTCTCCTATCATATTTACCCATTCGGCAAAATGACGTATTTCATGAAGTGAGTCTCGTGAGCCATCTCGCGAAACCAATCTCATATTCATTTACAAATGGATAACTTTGCATTGATTCCATAACTCAGAATTATGAAGATAAGCTTCCACAATAGCCTCACGTCTTCCTTTAGTTACTACAGGCAAGATTTGCTTAAAATCTCCCCCTAATATGCATAACTTTCCTCCAAAAGGCTTATTACGACAAAAAATTTCAGAACTTTTTAATATATCTTGCAATGTTCTATTCACTGCCTCAAATCCATGATGATGCATCATCGGTGCCTCATCCCATATTATTAATGAGTACTCTCGAATCAAATGTGCCAAATTGGAGTTGAGATTAATGGAACAATGTGATGATTCATCCAATTCAATTGGTATCTTAAAACGTGAATGTGCGGTTCGACCCCCTGGCAGTAATAAAACTGCAATTCCAGATGATGCAACTGATAGTACAATTTTTCTCTGTGATCGAAACTTAAGAACAATGGTCTTCCACAAATATGTCTTTCCCGTTCCTCCACTCCCATTGACAAAGAAAAGCCCTCCATGTTTACCTTCATAAGCTTCAATAATTTCATTGTAAGCACGAAGTTGATCAATATTCAATCCCGCATGCAATGAATGAAATAATTGTTTTTCATTACTTGCATTGTAATCGAGCTCTTCTCGTATCAGTCTATTTGATAGATATGAAAATGATCTACTCGATGGTTGTGGCATCGGAGGAAAATCTGCAAGACTCCTACCATTTTTGCTAAGTATCAATTCAATTTCTTGAAGCCCCCAATCCTTGAGATCCATGTCACATACAGGAACGTCATTTCTCGACTCTCTTCTCAAATTATAGAGCAAATCATCAACCATTGACCTCCAATGTTGTTCCCATAAGTTAACAGGGTTGGTTAGCTCATAAAACATAAGCATTGTCGCAAACATATTCCGCAATTTCGAAGAAGAAGCCCAGCTGGAAGCTTCAGACAATGCTTCATGCCATTCATTGTCATCATCCAGTAAACCACGTGCGGCGCATGCCTGCTTGAAGGTAGAATAAACATATCCATTGAATGTCCAAAGATCCTCAAAAGATTGTGCTCCACAAACAATATAGAGTAACATCCGCAAGTAATATTTCTCCCATGAACCTGGATGTGCATATGGAAGTCTCCCAATACTCCTACCCTTTTGTCTAGTAACCCAGTCTTTTGTATTTTTTCTCCAAACCCATTCAGAACTGAAATTCACATAAGTTAGCCTTCGTGCAGCAACGTTGTTTTTGTTGGCTTCAAACCATCTTGTCAACATTGTATGTTGAACACCGAAACGATCTACAACATTGACTAAACTCTCTCTTTCATGAAATACTACAAACTGTTGATTTGGCAAATGAAACTGCAAACGTTCAACTGCTGGGGAATACTTCTGAAGTTCAAATTTATAAATTCTCCAACAAGCTTCAATTGCTGATATGTAACGAAAATCTACGTATTGTTTGAATTCATCAATTCTTTTGTGTCTTTGCTCATTGTTCATTGCATCTTTAACATTTTTCTTAAGAGAAACAATTGCCCGATCTGTCCCCTTACACATGTATTTGTACATGTACTTCATCAATTTTGGAGATGCACACTTCTCTACGTTTATGTGAGCATTGAACAACACAAGCAGATCTCGATTGTATGGAAAAATCCAACGATTGTCCATCTTGACACCGTTTACAGAAAATGTCTTTGAAGGATCACATCTATATCTGTACGAAACAAATCCATTTTTATCTATCGTAGTATGTGGATAAAACTTCTTTGGATAATGCTTACTACACTTTCCATCCACCATACATGGAGCATTGAGATTGTATACTCCACATGGTCCATGAACCATTTGTCTTGTAACAATATTATAGGCAAGTGGGTCGACATTTTTATCAGGAATTTCGGCACATATATACCTATCAATTTCTTCGGAAGTGATTGGTTTAAATCCATCTTGAAGAGTCAACGTAATATGCGAATGGGGCAATCCTCGTTTTTTAAAATCAATAACATGAACATCTGTTGTATATAAACATTAATAAGTAACTATTTTTATCAATATTGGAATGATTTTAAACATATAAATTAAATTGTAATATACCTGCAATTGCTTGTCCAAAGAACATTTTATCTTTCAACAGACGTAACATTTCTTTGTGTTTCATCCTGAATACTCTTGCTAGTATATCAGGACGATCTTCTGTACATTGATTTGGAAATTTTGATAAATCTCTAGAAATTTCTACCCACTTTGGATTGCATGTTAATGTAATAAAAAAATCTGGAGGTTCAATTGCTCTACATATTGCTAAAGCATCATGATAATGTTGCAACATATTTCGAGGACCTCCAGTAAATGAAGATGGTAGACTTATCCTCATTCCCACCGCACTAGCATCTGTATCCCCAACAACAACAGCACCAGTGAGACCTTGATATAAATCCACACGCAATTTAGCTTGATGTGTCTTTATATAATTCAAACGGTGTTGTTCAATTGCAGAATAACAATCCACTGCAAGTTGTTGAAACAAACGTCCTCCTCGTAGAAGAGTTGTGCCTTCCATTCTGTGTTGGAAGCGAAATGCCCAAAATTCTCGCATTGAAACATCTTCATTTTTCATGTTTCCCAACATTTTGTAAGGAATCCCATCTCTCCACCCATCACTACCGTGTGGAAAAAGTAATGGATATTGTAATGGAATTTAAGAAGGATGAGTCTCACTAATACGCTTTAAATATCCATCTGTTTTGCAGACAATAATATCGCGACTTTGTACGATATTTCTATCTTGACCAATAATCAAAGCGGCAATCTCATTCGTAGAAGGCATTGTGTACTGTCGATTATCTCTGTTATTCAGAATCCGTACACGTAAATCAATTCCCCTATCACGTTGTAATGCATCTCTCGCAGAACGGAAAACTTGAACATAAGGGTTCACATCATCCAACATAAGTTTTAAACCCTCAACTATAGAAGAAAATTCGGGAGTACACCTATCTTTTCCTAAGATAGATAGTCGATTACGCACTTCATTCTCAGTGTCACAAATGTACAACTGAACAAATTTATTATGCTCTCCTACAGAGGGGAACCAATGATCCAATTAAGTGAAAATTCTCTCCAGAAATTCTATAACAAAATGGTCCCCTCCCATCTTGAACTGATCTATCAATTTTTCCACCAATTGATATGAAACTAAAGATCGAATTAAATAATTTGATATTTTCCATAAAACTACGATCTTTTAGTAGACCATCTAAATAATCTGGAGGATTTGGCAACGAAGGCAAAAACACCTTTCCACTGTTACAACATAAGCCAAATTTGGGAGTTTCTTTAGGACTACGGATAAGTCTTTCCTCAAACCACATAAATGCGCCACAGAACTGACAAATAATAGTTCTTTCACTTAAAATTGATGTTGTTGTAGCACAAGTTGACATTACTCGAGGTATAACTGAAAGAAAAATAGTATTGAAGTTTAACGAAAATTTTTATATAAAAAGAAAAAACATAAAGACTAATAGAAGTTGTTTATAAGTGCTATTAGAGCTGACAAAAATAGATATAGTTTTAAATTTATTCATAAGAATAGAATATTTCCATGTAACAAGAGTACAAAGGAAAAGCAAGAATTTCTAACATTTTTTCTTATTTTTTGTTCTTTTCTTTTTTTTTTTTTAATTGGTCGACACTTTTGATTTATTGTTTATATGTATACTAATTGATATTGTTGTATACTTAATAAATATTAAAACCGTATCTATTTTGTTTTATTTATACTTTTTGGATCTTAGATTCTAATTTCTAGCAATATATTAAGCAAAAATATAAATTATTAGTAAATGCATGTTAAATGATAAATATATTTAATATATTATTACCTTGATCCACAATATTATTTTTTATTTCCAAATTTGTATGTTCTTGGCGATGTTCTTCAACGGAAGGTAGTACAATATCTCCATCTAAAAAAAAGAATACAAATATTTATTCATAAGTATATTTATAATTAAAATAGATAATAAAATCGTATTCAAATAAAATTGATTATATTAAATAAATATAAGTTGATACTAACAATAAAAAACAAATAAACATGATAAGTTTATATTAAATAAATATATAAATTATTTGTAAACGCATATATGATAAATATATTTAATATATTAATATCTTGATCCACAATATTATTTGCGATCCCCAAATTTGTGCATTTTTGGCGATGTTCTTCAACGGAAGATGGCACAATATCTTCATCTAATAAGAACACAAATATTTATTAATAAATATCTTTATAATTAAAATTAAAAATGAAACACCAACATCAAAATTGCTCTAAACAAAATCAATAAATTATATTCACATTCAAATATAAATTGATTTATTAAACAAATTGTTGATGTAATTTTTCAACAAAAATAAAGTAAAATTCAAAGATATGAAAAATATCCTTAAACTTGATTAATTAGTGCCTGAGATTAGGAATCTCTAAACACTGTACGGTACAGAAACTAAACTGGAAAATAAAATACTGAAATTTAAAGTGGTGATCCCCAAATCTGACTTTGCTTTGTTGAAGTTGATTGAAGATGTCTTGCCAAATGATGATTCAAACCTTTAAATATTCTCTGGGAAACCGTACTGAAAACCGTCACCCGAACGGTTACAACGTCTCCTTCCCAACCGTCTTCCAACCCTTTTCATGCTGACACGTGTCCTCAGCAGACCAAAATTATCCTTATATTTCACTCTTTGAGCCGACCACAGACCTTCCGCTCTTTTGGCCCGACTTCGTCCTTCGCCCGACCTGCTTCTTCGCCCGACCTCACTTGGGCCGACCTCCGCATCAGCCGCCCTCCGTCTTCGACCGAAGACCTCCGCGTCTGTCCGTACCTCTTCCTTGCCCGACCTTCCTCTTAACAGACCTCCGCGTCTGCCCGACTTCGGTCTGGATTTGGATCAATTCTTGAGATCTTAACTTTCTTCCTTTTCCCGACCTGAAAGCCTCCCGACCTGCGGACTTCCCGTCCTGATGACTTTCCGTCTTGAGGACCTACCGACCTGAAGACCTTCCGTCCTGATGACTTTCCGTCTTGAGGACCTCCCGACCTGAAGACCTTCCGACCTGAGGTCTTTCCGTCTTGAGGACCTACCGACCTGAGATCCTTCCGACCTGAGGTCTTTCCATCTTGAGGACCTCCCGACCTGAAGACCTTCCGACCTGAGGTCTTTCCATCTTGAGAACCTCCCGACCTGAAGACCTTCCGACCTGAGGTCTTTCCATCTTGAGGACCTCCCGACCTGAAGACCTTCCGACTTGAGGTCTTTCCGTCTTGAGGACCTACCGACCTGAGATCCTTCCGACCTGAGGTCTTTCCGCCCTGAGGACCTTCCGTCTTGAGGACCTTCCGTCTTGAGGACCTCCCGACCTGAAGACCTTCCGACCTGAGGTCTTTCCGCCCTGAGGACCTTCCGTCTTGAGGACCTTCCGTCTTGAGGACCTACCGACCTGAGGACCTTCCGTCTTGTATTTTCCTTAGAAATAAATCTATTTTCCTTGATTTCCTCACGGTGTCCTTCAGCCAGTTCAATCAACCCTATTGCTAGGCCCATTCTTCTTTTTACCTTGGGCTTTTAACCTAATTCTAAATTTCGTACGTAACAACTTGCCCGCCGCCAAGGGACTTTCAAACGCCATTTAACAATCAATGTTTGGAAGTTCATAAATCACTACCTTCTTGAAAAATTCCCTTAGCAACTGCACCAGTTACTGCAATACTCCTGGTTAACTTCCTTCTCCGCAATACAAGCCTTTGTGAATCACAATCCCAAAACACTCTAACTATGGCGAATCAATACATTCCTGCCCTTCCTTTCGACGGAACCCTCCCGGAGGGCCCATTTTCAGCCTCGAAAGTACTAACTCCGACGATCCGTCCATACTACACTACTCCTGAAGACTCAAATCGGATGAGGGAAGTTTTGGAATCCCGAAATTCCTTGGCTATCAACAATCCTAACTACCAAGCAGTTCGCATTCGAGACAGCATCAAAACCCATCTCACAGACCCAAAAGATCCTTACCGCGCTTGGTATCGACGGGTAGCAGAACACTTCCAGGCCCAATGGCGATCGCAAAAAATCGACCAAGCCATACTACTGTCCACCATGCCTATCAACCTGCATGAGAAGGTGCTGTTGGCCATGTCTGCCTTCTGGAATGCGGAAAATGGGACTTTCCTCCTACCCTCTGGCCCCTTTGGTCCAACTCTTATGGACGTGGCAATGATCGCGCATCTCCCAGTCGTGGGTGAAGACCCTGTAATGGGAGCCCTAGATGGGCAGGAGCCATCAGAAGACCATCCAGGGTGGTCTTTACAAGGTGTGAAGGAATGGGGTTGGACAAAGTTCGCAACCGACCAGCAAGGGGCTCCAGGGACCCCTGTAACCGACCCGGAGCATACTGCCTTTATCCTTTTTTGGCTTTGTAGGTACGTTATTGTTTCCCCTTCCAAATGTGTTCTTCCTACTCATCACGTATATAACTTCCAATTCTTATATTCCTTTCCGCTCCAACCCTGAGACTGTAGAAACATTCAATGAATGGTGGTCGGTTGTATGGCCCCTGATCTCCCCTGATGAGGGTCGGTTGCTGAACATACTCCTTCCCCCCCAAGGATTGGTTCTAGGGGCGGCTAGACATACTAGCACTCAACAACAAACAGCCGCCCCGGGGATCGGGTCTAGTGCTCCAACGCGAAAAAGGAAAGCGTCCCAGCTGCCAACACCCCCGACCTCTGGGGCCGACCAGCAAGCACCAGCGGACCTTGGAACTACAAGGATGTCCGCAAGGACCCGACCCCGAATAGGTAATTTTTTCCTTACAACCGTGAACCAATTCACTATTCTTAACTTTGATGGCACTCATTTCATTCCTCAGAACCGACCTTGGCAGCACCGACCACACAACCGACGCCAGCCCCGGCCGACCAACCTTTGGTCCCGACTGAGGCAGTTCCTCTCCAAACCCCTACTCCACTTCTCACTTTGCCAATGAGCAGTCGGGCGGAGGACCCGACGAGGAGGCAAACTCTTCCTCCTGCACCGAGGAGCGGTCGGGCCAGGCACCCGACCAGGAGGCAATCTTTACCAGTAGTGCCTAGAGAACCAGTAAGTTCTCTCATCAGCAATACTTAGGATTCTAATGATCAACTCTGATATATTTAACAACCAACATTTCCATGATTTTTTCACAGACACCTTCACCCATCGGATCAGCAGCAAGGGTCTCTTCTGACAGCGAGGGAACTACTTCCCAGATGGGTCGCCCGCCATACATGGCATCAGACTCATCCATTTCGAAGGAAAGACCAACTGCCCTCGCCGAAGCTGACCCTCAAAACGACATCCTTGATGTTGCTGATCCCGAAATCGAAGGTGCCCCAGAGATCCCGGCTGCAGTGGCTCTAGAAGCAGCCGCCCAACCTGCAGCCGCCCAGCCAGCAGCGGCGCTCCCTCTAGCCATCGAGTGGCAGGCAGAAGAACCACCTGCGGCAGCCCAACCTCCAGAAATGGAAGAAATGTCTTCATCCGAATCGGAGACTTCTGTGAATTTGGTAAGATTAA